TTTAATATCATATTAATAAGAAAAAGGAACAGAAATCTTATATTATCGTAAGTTTTCTTTTTATTTCCCTTTCGATGTTGCGCGTTATTTTACACTCGTCAATAATGACGAAAATATTTTGGACACCTAATCCTACTTAAACCATCGTAATGTTTCGTCGAAAATTTATATATATATGTATATATATATACCTATACATATCTTCATTCTTACGTCTATGTATCTATAGATTTTTCTCTAAATCGAATAAATTTGATAATTTTAGGGAAGTGGTGATGTGAAATATCATTTGGGTACAAGTATTGAACGTTTAAATCGTGCATCAAATACAATGGTTAAATTTGTTCTTGTTGCTAATCCATCGCATTTAGAAGGTTTAAAAAAATAAACAAAATAAAAAAGAAGAATATATTGTAAAAAATAAAAATTTCTGTTTTTTTTTCTCTCTATTCAATAGCTGTTGATCCGGTTGTACAAGGTAAAACTCGAGCAGAACAATTTTATCGTGGTGATAAACATGGTGATAAAGCTATGAGTATACTAATACATGGTGATGCAGCATTTGCTGGACAAGGTGTTGTTTATGAAACCTTTCATTTAAGTGATTTACCAGCTTATACGACACATGGAACTATTCATATTATTTGTAATAATCAAGTAAATAAGATAAAAAAAATTAAAACAACAGAAAAAAAAACAACTTTTTGTTTTTGTAAATTTTTAGATTGGTTTTACCACCGATCCACGTATGGCTCGTTCAAGTCCTTATTGTACTGATGTAGCACGAGTCGTTAATGCACCTATATTCCATGTTAATGCTGATGACATTGACTCAGTTTTACATGTAGCAAAAGTAGCTGCAGAATGGCGATGTACATTTAAAAAAGATGTTGTTATTGACCTTGTATATTATTTTTTTGAAAAATGATTATTTAAAATAAGAAAAAAAATTTTCTTTTTTTATAGGTTGGCTATCGTCGACATGGTCATAATGAAACAGATGAACCTATGTTTACACAACCATTTATGTTCGTATATAAAAATTTCAATTGTGAATTTTTTTGATTTTTATAATTTTTCTTATTAATTTTAGGTATAAAAAAATTCATAAACAACCTCCTGTGTTAAAAAAATGGGTTGAAAAATTAATTAATGAAGGTACAATTCAACGAGAATGGTATGAAGTATGTATTCATATAATTTAAATAATTAGTTTTTTTCAATTAAATTTAAAAAAAATATATATTCTAGGCTGAAGAAGCTAAGTATCAAAGAATTCTTGATGATACTTTTGCTAATTCTAAAAGTTCAGCATATGCTAAAGATAAAAATTGGCTTGATTCACCATGGAAAAATTTCTTTACTTCGAAAGGTCCTTTTCCATATCCAGAAACTGGAGTATCTGAAGAAACACTTAAAACTATTGGCACTAAAGCACACGAATTACCCCAAGGTTTTGTTCTTCATCGTGGTCTAATACGTGTTTTTGAAAAACGTTCTGAAATGTTACAAGAACGTGAAGTTGATTGGGGATTAGCTGAATCAATGGCTATAGGTAGTGTTTTACTTGATGGTAATCATGTTCGTCTTAGTGGACAAGATGTTGAACGTGGAACATTTTCTCATCGTCATCATGTTTTACATGATCAAGAAAAAGATCTAGTTTTTCATGTACCGATGAATTATCTTTCTCCAACACAAGGTCATTATTCAATATGTAATAGTTCATTATCAGAATTTGCTGCATTGGGTTTTGAACTTGGATATTCAATAACAAATCCAAATTCACTTATTATGTGGGAAGCACAATTTGGTAGGAATAAAAGCAAATCTTGTTCTTGTTTTTTGAAAGATTTTTTTGTAAAATTAAATTTAGGCGATTTTGCGAATAATGCTCAATGTATTATTGATCAATTTATTTGTAGTGGACAAGCTAAATGGGTTCGTCAAAGTGGTCTTGTCCTTCTTTTACCTCATGGATATGAAGGACAAGGTCCTGAACATTCATCAGCACGATTAGAACGATTTTTACAGGTAAATTTATGCAAAGATTATTCACAATTCAAAATAGAGTAATAGATGATCATCAATTGAATGTTTTTTATTGGTGTACAAATCTATGCAATTAGTTTTGATTCATATCATTCAAATCGGACAAAAGTTCTTCGGTATACCAACAATTAACTGGCGGTAGTTTTTGATATTTGAATGATCGACTATCTTCTGATCACCATTCTACTGCAATATGCCAATAGGTTTTTTTTTTCTCCGATCGGCAATCTGCTGCCGATATACCAGAGGTACTTGTGAGATATATTGTTAGTAGTGTGAACTAATGTGTAACATGAGAATTTTCAAATCAGTTTTGAAAATTTTAATCATAGAGTAAAATAATAATTAGTTTTTTAATAGAAAAATATGGATTGATATTATTTTGAAAAGTTTAAAATAGTAAAAAAGATACTAATGAATTTAGATTATTATACAAAAAAAATGCAATTATGATTATGGTCCTACATGACCGTTGTGACTCATGATTACCATGATCATGGCCGTAACTGTAGTTAATTTTTTTTACGAAGGCCATGACTATAACTGTGACTATACTTTCATCATGGAAATTCATGGTTGTTAAAATAGCCCTACATCCTATATTTCTATTAACTGATCGGATGTTCTACAACACAAATGACCTCATTTTTATTTCACCTAGACGCAATATCTGCAATAACTTGTTATATGTAATAGATGACATACATAAATCATACATAATATAATCATAATTTATATTTTGACAAATAATAATGACAAAATAGATGTCAATCTTTAAATGTATAATCGTTTTCGTTTTGTTTCGTGAGGTTAACAGAAATATCTTTGATTAGATTAATTTTGTTTTCTTTTCTTTCACTTCAATAGATTCTTATCGTTTTTATTCATATAATCGATATAATAAATCTTTGTCAATAATACATATAGTTTATTTGTTATATTTCAATTACTGTGTTGTTCTACATGTTCGTGCAATAATATCTAAATCGATCGAATGCAATTGAATATTATTTGCACTAATAATAAAATAGATTTCAATAAATTTGATCAATTGATACCTAATCGAGTGTTTCTAAATTTGATTTTTATTGAAATTTATTCATAAATTTCACATATATATATATATTAAATATTTACGGCGGAATTAAAATTTTCATTTGATATCAATTAGAATGAAATTTTACTTTAAAAATTTGTCCTTTTTTATTAACTTTCTTTTTTATATTACAAAATATATTTTAGTTAGCCAGTGAAGATGAAGATCGTGTAACTGAAATCAAAGAAACAAAATATCATCACCATACCGATCTGGCTATGTCTCAATTAGATGATACAAATTTGATAATAGCAAATATAACAACACCAGCTAATTATTTTCATATTCTTCGTCGTCAATTAGCTTTACCATTTCGTAAACCTTTAATAATCATGTCACCAAAATCTTTACTTCGATTACCTGCATGTCGTTCAACATTTGATGAAATGATAACTGGTAAATAATAATATTGATTTCATTATATATATTTCTTTTCTTTTTTTTTTTTTTGTGTATGTTTTTAGGTACAAGTTTTAAACGTATTCATCCTGAAGGTGGTGCTGCAACAGAAAATCCTGATGGAGTTAAAAAAATAATATTTTGTTCTGGAAAAACTTATTATGATTTAATTGAAGAACGTCATAAAAATAAACTTGATTTCGAAATAGCTATTGCACGTATTGAACAATTATGTCCATTTCCATTCGATTTAATTCGTGAAGAACTTGAAAAATATAAAAATGCAAAAGTATGTTTTGCACAAGAAGAACATAAAAATATGGGACCAGTGAGTTATTTTATTTTATTTCAAAATAAATTATTTCATAACAATAAAAAAATCTTTTTTTTTTTTTTAGTATACATACTGTAAACCACGTCTTGCGTGTCTTCTCCGTTCAATGGATGATCCACGAGCTGCTGAAATCAAGTAATTTTTTATTTTTATTTTTTTTTGTTTTTGAAATTTTTTTTGCTTAAAACTTTTCTTTTCTTACAGCACATGGTAAGTGTGTAATTTGTATTAAATACTGTAATAATATTTGGTATTCCCTAGTAGTCTCTAGAGCATGTGTTCACTAATGAATCGGCATGTGCATGTTCTTTTTGTTAATCGTTTTTTTTTTGTTTTGATTTGAAGTTTAGATATTTATATTTGAGAAAACAAGATATGCTCATGACGGTTCATTTGTGTTTTTGATTTTTTTTTTTGTTAATATATATTATTCATTGTTATATAATTATTCTTTTTTTTTAATTTTTTCTTTAGTTATGCTGGAAGAGATTCAGCAGCATCAACAGCAGCTGGTATTAAATCAAGCCATTATTTAGAACAAAAGACATATATGGAACAAGCAATGGCTCTTTAAATCATTAGTGAACAATTATTCTTTTTATATCCACTTGAATTAAATTTGTTTAGTTTTGTTTTTCTTCTTCTTCTCATATCCTTTATTTATCCATGTCAGTAAGAAAAACTAATAGATTCTATATATCAGCCAGAAATGTCCTACTTCCACATAGAAATATTTGATATATACATATATAAGTTTTATTATTTTCTATGGTCAAATAAAAAACAAAAAAAAAAAAAGAAAGAAAGAAAGAATAATCAAGCAGATCATGCTGTCCCATATCGTTCCCATTCATATATTGAGAAGCTAATCTATCTACAATTAATTTTGTTGAAAAATGCACTTTAAAAACAAAAAAAAAAAAATATTTCTTTCTCAAGCAACGTAAAACAAAGCATAACCGTAAGAAAAAAGAGAGAATAAATATCTGAACAAAACGCTAGCAAGAAAAAAAAAAGAAGAAAGAAAATGAAATGGAGAACGATTAAACTTTGGCATTTACACAAAAAAAAAAAAAAAAAAAAGATAATTTATGTTCGAATTTAGTTTAAATTATTTATTTAAATTAAACCAGGTGGTTTAAAAGGTGACCGAAATTTTGTTGTATAACTACTTTCAATAATTTGTGGTGTTGTTGGTTCAGAAAATTGAGCTGTACAACCAAATATTCCAGATGTATCAACAAGAATTTCACGTGGTTTTGATGTTGGTCGAACAATAACACGACTTTTTTCACGTTGACGACCAGCAGCTGTATCACAATCGAATGAACCACATGGTTTTGATAATGTACCTCAAGAAAATTAAAAAATATATATAAAAAACAAAAAAATAATAATTTAAATATGTAGTATTTTATTTATAAGCAAAATAAAATTTTAAAGTTCAATTCAAATTCTTTAAACTATGAAAGAAAAATATTTTTCATTATCGATTATATGATATTAATCTTTGTATTTTATGGTTGTATTCAATTTTCGAAAAGATCATCGTCCTAGACTAATCTTCATTATGATTAAACATGCACATCAAACTCAATTTGAATATTTCGAACTTATCTTATTACAATAAACTGTCGCGTCATAAATATAGAAGGATGTCTGACTTTGATTACTAAACAAAGACGGATTCAGTAAACTATATGGATTTTTTTTAATTAACTCTAGTTTAACAATGTTACTGAAATACATTCTCTAGTATCATTTGCTTACTTGAATTTTCTACTGACAGAAAAATATTATGGCAAAAAACGACTCAAATGGTTTGGGTACATGCCTAATTATGATCTTAATAATGTTTAACATTATTTTCCAGAAAGAAAATTATAAGTTTTGTATTTTTCAAATAAACTGTACGGGAACAAAAAATTTCTTCGAATAGTTGCCGCTTTATTTTAGAAATCCGCTTAATAAAAGATGATAAAAATTATTATACTTTTTCTAGATATCAATGTATACTAATCTATCAAAGTTTTTTTTTTTTTGTTTTGTTCGTTATTTTCTTCATCAACCAAGCAAATCTAATGAAAAATCACCAGAATTGAACTAACATTAATATAGAAATTTGACAGCTAGAATGACAAAAATTAACTCATTTATATCCAGCTAAAAGCAATATTTACAAAGAATCGAATAAGCATCTCAAGAGATCTGATTAATAATACAAATTTTTTTCTTTTTGTTTTATCAAGGTTAAAAATGTCAAAAAAAAAACCTCATTAGGGATATAAAAGTGATAGAGCAAAAGAAATGAATTTGTCTAATTAAGGTCAAAAGAAAAAAACTATGTAATAATCAAAGATGAATTTAGAATGAACATTAAAAATAAGGTCAGTGAAGCAGTATATCAAAACATGCAATCGATAATTACCAAATAAAAAAAAAAGATAATACATATATATATATATATAAAAAACAAGCATTACCATTGCGAGCATGCATTCGTTGCACAAAATCTTTGTGATATGCTTTCTTGCTAGCTCGATGATGCTGTTTTTCGACAAAACCATCATCTATGATGAAGAGGATGCACAAAAGCATAGTATAAGCAAATTTATCAAAGCAAGAAGAAAATGAAAAGGAAGAAAAAAAAATCAATAACACACTAAATAAGAAATCATTATCGATATGTATATATATATAAAGGAAGAGAAGCAACAATTGCTGATAGCTACCATCAAAGAAGCGTGAAAGCGGTCGTTTCATTGTTGCACTATTTTTACTACCTGCTCCACCGTCTTCAAAAATAAAAAGACGGAAATAAATATCAAAAATGTATTTCATTTAGTTCTGACCTGTACTTGATGCTGAATCACGTCGTACATTTTCAGTTTTTTCAAATCGTTCGATTACTTGAGTTTCTAAATAAAACAAATCATATGAATATTATTTAATGAACTATGAAATTTTTTTTATTACCTGTAACACATAATGGTCGTTTCGGTAAACCGGCTGTTGTTGTACCAGTTTCTCTAGTTTGAGGACGAGCTAATAAAAAAAAAAAATTTTTTTTTTTTTCTATGAAATTTTTCTTTGAAAATATTTTTACATTGTTTTGGTGGAAGCGGTGGTGGTGGTATGTAAAGATCGTCAGTTGATGTTGTTGCATCTTGACGAATAATTCTTGGTGGTTGTTTACGTTCAACTATTCAATCATAGATATCAAATGAATAGAAGAAAAAACAACAAAAACAAAAAAATTATTTATTACTTGGAATAACACGATCTGGAATTTTAAGATCATAATTAAAATTATAATTAAAATGTTCTTCATGATGTTCATCATATTTTGACCATCGATTTTCTTGTTGCTGTTGTTGTTGCTGATTAAAACCTAAAATAAAATGTTTAATAACATTTATAAATATGTTTCAACTTATTGATTTGACACTTGAACGAGAAAAAAAAAGAAACGAATATGAAAATTTTTAATTTTTACCTGTTGATTCTTTATGTAAATCATAACAAGATGAAGGACGTGTACGTATTTTAACTTGTCGTACAGTTGGTGATGGTGTACGTACAAATGAAACCATATAAGGTGGTGCCAGACGTGGTTGTTGTTCTTCTATCGTTACTGTTTCTATATAGTTTTATAAAGAAAACAAGTTAAGTTTTTTTTTCTATATTTATTAACTATTAGCTATTAATTTTTCTTGTCTCTTTTTTTTTTGTGTATATATTTTATTTTACCTATTTTTTCAACAAGTATTTCCCTTGAACGAGCACGATTTAATGATCGACATAGTGGTGGTGGTGGTGGTGGTGGTGGAGAAAAACAATACGTATTAAAACAAACATTTGGATAGTGTACACCTTTTGTTTTTGATTTTTAAACGAAATTAAAAAAAAATATATATATATATATATAATCGAATGAATCTTTATTTTAACATACTATAACACTCTCGTTTATATCTTCGACCAGATGAACGACTTCGATGATGTTGATGTTGATGTTGATGTTGATGTTGATGTTGTTGTTGTTGATGATGACGATGACGAAGTGATGCAAAATCACTTTCTACACATGGAATATCATCAAAAAATGATGTTGGTTGAAGTTCAAATGGATCAAATGGTTCTGTTAAAGCGACTGATAATGGTCGACCATGACGATGTTGTGTATAACACATATTATTACATTCATCATCCCATAGAAAACTACCCATTAGACAACTTGGTCGTTGAAACCAATCTAGAGATAAGAAGAAAGATATGAAAAAGAAAAATATCAAATTGTTTATTCTAATTTTGTAATCGATGATAATATTTCAATATTAAATATCATCGAAATATATATGTCTATATAATATTCTTCAAATAGTATATGTATCATAACAAATAAAAAACGAAGAAAAACCGCAGCTGAAATTATTGCAAAAATCACAAGATAAGAATGCAAAGGAAAGAAAAACCAACATTTTTTTCTTTTTGGTAATATATTGTTGAGAGGAAACGTGCACTCACTATCTCTCTCTCTCTCGTTCTCTTCAATTTGACGCTGAATAAAAAAAATTCTGATGATGGGAATGCAAATATGTGCAACATACACATACAATAATATGTGATTTTATTACAAGGAGCTTGTATATGCGCGAACTAAGGGAAACGCATATAACCCTTCGATAATGTTGTCGGGTGTGTAAAGTTGATCCGGAGCAAATGTTCTTTATATTTCTGTGGTTTGTGTATGTTTGTGCTTATGTATACGGACTTTTTCTTTTTTCCTTCATTCTTTTTTTTCCTTCTCTCTCTTCTTCTGTCAAAAATTTCGTGCTCTTTCCAGTAGAAAATAATCTTTTATATGAGTAACTAGCACATGCATTTTTCTTTTTTTGACTATATCAGTTTGGCATTCGTTCGATTTTCTTAAGTGTGTGTGTGTGTGTTTTCAAATTATGTTAACACGTTGATGAAGTACGTGTCAATTATACTTTTTTACAATGATCAATCAAGATATAACAGTTCCTCACATAGTTTTGTATTTATATATATATATAATATATATTGATAATCTCTTGAGATGTAGTGAAGAGCGTGTATGTGTATAAGTGCTTACGGGTGCAGTTGCAAAGTAAAAATTCAAGGTCGAATGTGTAGAAGATATACGAACCTCGTTATTTGCAAATCGGATCTTTGATTATCATATACGCGAAAGAAAAAATAGACGTTACCCGATTTATTTTATCATTCATATAAATAGCTACTGTTATTGTTTACTTCAAATAGCAGTCTAGCTAAACGTCAAAGAGCCTAATCTTCTCAATTGTATATTTTTTTTCTCACTTTTTATTTCTCTTCCCACACTAATGCTGCCCATCTTTATTCTTTTCATTTTGATTCTATTCTTTTGTTTCTTTACAAAGAGATAAGCGTTTGTTGTTCTCTCTGTAGCTCTTTCTCTCTCTCTCTCTCTGTCTCTCTCTGTCTCTCTCTTTTTTCTTTTTCTCTTTACTGTCTAAATATGTGAATGGTACTTATAGGATTCACCTTCAACAAGAAAAAAAAACCTACAATAATATCAAAACATCAATGACGATGATTATGATCACTATTGTAATTCAGGTGTGTATATGTAATGACAACAAGAAAAATGTAATGTTAAACTACTCACATACCAGATCTATATGATGGTGACGGCTTTTGATGTCGAGACATTTCTTCTTGAAAATTAACAAACGAAACGAAAAGGGAGGACCTTGTTATGTCTCTTTTCTTCTTTTTCTATTTACTTGTAGATTGAGAATGAAGAGAAGAAAAAAAGAAAACGAAAGTTATGATCGTTTTCGGTAGAGATCAGTATGCGCTGATTGTGGGTGTATGAATATCAAATGCACGTTAAAGTTGTTTCAATATCGATTTTGATTATATCTTTCAATTTTTTTTTCTTGTTCGATCATTTTTTTTGAAAACGAATATATATATATATATATTTATTATATACTAAAAATTCATTATGATCGATTTTAATATATATATGAATAAACGATTTTTAAAGTCTTCGTCTGTCATTCTTTTTTTTTTTTGCTTTATCGAATAAACAATAAACAGGAGCAATATTCTCAATCGTCATCACTATTACATTCATATTTGTTCCAATATTATAGTCAAAAATAAGTTATGCTATGAATGATTGATTTATGTATATACGAAATTGTTGCTTGCTTATTACCAAAAATTTGTTACCATAAATTTTCAAGGATATACGTGCATGCACGTTATATACACAGATGTTTAAAAGAATCTTGATTTCGTTATTTCAATATTGTCATATATTAAATATCACTCGAGAAAATAAAAAATAACAATAAATATATGTCGTTTTCACATAAATTAAATAGAAAGATTATGATTTTTTGTGCAATAAAAAAAAATGTATGCATTATATAATGAACAAATAAAAGCATTTTTTTTTTGTTATCAATTGACACTGATTTTAGACATTTTTTAAAAATATAATATAAAAAGATTTTTTTTATGATAAGGAAGTCAAAGAACTGATTCTTTGACAAATATAATTAATAAAATTATTTAAATAAACGTAACCAAAATTGTTTATTTTCTTGTTCTTTTACTTTTTTAATCGTTCTTTCATCATAGACCAATTCAAACAAACGATAATTTTACACTTCAAGGAAAGCACTTTTTTTATGTGATGTTTTACGAAAAAAAAAAAGAATATGTCTCGCTTGAATTTTAAATGAAATTAACCTATGTCATGTATATGTCATAGTTAACATGAGAAAAATAATTGCCTATAGAATTTGTTTAAAAAATATTATTTGATGTTAAAGTTACGATTGATCGAAAAATTTTTGTTGTTAATGAAAAAAAACCAGTCAAGTTTTCAAGGTTTAACATGTAAATTTTTTTCTAAGGTCTTTACCATTTGTTTAATTCTCTTTTGTAAAGAAACAATGAAAACAAACAAATCAATTACGAAAGAATACTTGATGCATTCTATTTCTTCTAATATTTAAAATTATAAGAAATAAATTTACAAAAAAAAATTTTTCTCTAAAAGTTTATGAAAAAAAAACACAGAATAGTGAAGCATGCTTTCCTGAATAATGTGTTCTTCATTGTTCTTTTCCTTTTTTTTTTTTTAATAAAATTCCTCTTCTGAGTTTGATCAAAGCTTAACATAATGCATCTTGAGCTTCCACTTATACTGAATAATATACATTGCGAAGTAACTATATGAACGAGGCAATTAATTTGTTCCGTGCAAAATTAAAATGCATGTTAGAAGGAAATTCAAGGTTCAGAAAACTGATTTAATACTTTTTTTTTCTTCAAACCACACATCATAACATTCCAATTTATTTAATTCATCTCTATTCTTTTGTGTATGGCCAAATAGAAGTGTTGTATAACAAAGAAAAAAAAAAAAGAAAAAAGAAAAAAAATAGAAATACATTTCTGTTTGAATGTTTAAGTACAACAAATAAAAGATAAGCGAAAAGAAAAAGGAAAAAAAATCAAATGGAGTTATGCGATCAGGGAAACGAGAAAAAAAATCAATTCGTCTATCACAAAAGAAAAGAAAGACAATAGTTTAATTCTTAATGAACAGGAAAGAAAAAAGAAAAAAAGGTATTTATGCGGTAGGTTGAAACCCTTTCGTACAACACATTTGTATGCAAGTGAACGAGAACGAACAGGATAATAATTAAAGATCATTTATAAGAACAAAGAAAAAAAGAAAAAAAAAATTTAATTAACAACGTATTAATAATAATGATGATTTAAATCACTGCTAGCCATTTCTAAACCTTCACCTAATTTATAAACATAAATTTTATAATCTTTCGATGCCATTGCTAATTCATCATTATATCCAACAGCAACATCGAAACATTGAGCATGTTTCATAAGCTAGAAAAAAAAAATTATAAATCAATAATTAAGAATTTTCTGTTTGTTTTTTTTTTTACTGCAAAAATACTTACTGAATAATGTGAATATTTTTTATTTCCATCATAATCATATGTTGATACGTTAAAATTTTCATGGTTATCTACAACAATAAGTTCACGACGCGGTTGATTCTAAAAAAAAAAATGAACAGCAGCAAAATTATCAACACAGAAAATTAACAATAACAAAACTTACAATTCGACACGCAATTGGATACGTAATTCCAGCTCCAATATTTTTCAAATGTTTACCGGTATAATCAAATACTCGAACAAAATGTGATTCATTATCGCTAACATAGAGTTCATGTCGATCATTGACACAGACACTTGTCGGAAAACTCAAATGATCGCGTAAATCACATTGACCCCATATACGACCTGATGTTGCATCATAAATATGTACTAAAATTAAACAAAAAAAAAACAAACAAAAATCAGATATTCTTTTATTTTTTCAAATAATATTTCTAAAGATTTATATTACCTTTCATTATTTTTGATTCAATAACAATAATTCGACCTTGTTGATCAATACAAATAGCTCTTGGACTTTCAAGATCATTACCGAAACGACGAATAAATTGACCATTTCGATCAAATATTTGTATCATCGGTCGAGGTGAACGTTGTACCATAACAAGCTAAATTAATATGAATCAAAATCATTTTTATTAGAAAGAGAAAAAAAAAACAATAATAATAATAATAATAAATCTTACTAAATCATGTCCAGGTAAAACAGCAATACGATATGGATAAAGTAATGCACCAGGTCTTGTTCCAGCTTGACCAAATTTTAATATACATTCTCGTCGAATAGGATCAAAAAGTTTAACTTGACTTGAATTAGTATCAACAACTGAAATTGTTCCATCTGATAAAAAAGCAATACCATTTGGTTCAAGAAATTCATTTATACCACGACCATAACCACCAAATTTATATTCATCTAACAAAAATTAAAAAAAAACTCAAATGAAAAAAAGATATCTTTTAATTAATAATTTATTTACATGATGTAGAATATCTTAATGATGTTTGATTAGATGATCGAGTTAAACGACGACATGATTGATCTATAGGTCGATTTGTTATTGATTGAGAATTTGGTATAAAAGCTGATTCATTTTCCATATGAAATTCAGCTGCAGATGGATCAAGTATTGATGAATGTTTTAATCGATGATTAAATGGTGATGGTTCATATGAATGATAACCACTTGTACTTACAAGTAAATCATTTGATGATGATGATCCAGTTAAAGCTTCTAAAATAATGAAATGTTTTTATTTTTGTTCATAAGAAAATAAAATTTCATTATTTTTTCTTTTTTTTTTTTTTTTGATTTTACCAAAATTTATTCCAGCTTGTTCAATAATTGAAAATATTTCATCATGATTACCATCAATACTTGTACAACCATTTCCATTTAATGATGATTCATTTAAACTTGTATTAGCACTACTATGACGAAGTAAATAATTATTATTAATTGATGATGGATTAAGCATATGAGATCGATTTGGTTCAAATAATTCTCGACATTCAGTCCATGCATCAGTTTCATTTTCATCATTATCAATTGTTATAGTTGGTGCACCTTAAATAAAAAAAAAAAAAAATGTAAAACAAATACAAAAAACAAAGAAAGATTCTTTGTTTACTACTAAGTAATTTCCATCGACGATCATCATCAATAATATTATTAAGTTGAAGTTTTTTATTAGTAACATCCGAAAAATGTACACGAATAGGTGATGATGATGATAATGAACAAGAATTAATAGAAGATTTCATTTCACTCATTATATTTACTGATATTTAACACTCATACAATATACAGACGCGTACAGACCGACAACTTATGAATTATTTACAATAAATAAAAGAAAAAAAATAGTGGAACAAAAAAGAAAAAAGAAATGACGATCCGACCGATCGTTTGTGTAACCAAAAGAAATGCTTGTATGAAAATAGTCGAAAATTTACATGAGAATTTTTCTGTTTGGTTTTAATTTTCTTCAAAAGTAAAGAACGATCTAGGTATTAAATCATTTAGGAATATATGTACATTGTGGACGATAAGAGAGATGTAAAATTTAAGATGTAATTCGTCATGTATGAATAGGGCATTTCACAAAGGTGAATGTCTGATCGAAAAAGAGAGAGCGAAAGAAAGAGAAAGAAATCGCGACCACGTGATAAAAATGAATTGTTCAGATTTTCTTATTAAGTATTAGATTACTTCTACCCAAACGAACCTTCTAGTATTTAATTAAACTTTATCGTGTTGCTACTGGGTGCATGACACTACGAGTTCTTTATCTCAATAATCAATCAAGTGTTTTTTCTCGTTAAGAAGTATTGTAGAATTTTATTTATTAATAAATATCATTTGAACGATTTGAACATCTGCATTCAATTATTAAATAGCATCTATTTAAAAAAAATATTTCTCTATAGTTTAAGTATGCTTCATTAAGAATATTATTTACAATAGTACAGATGAAAACTGATAGTAATTAGATTCAAATAGAAAATTTATTTTTGATATAATAAATTTTACTATGAATTGTCTATAGATTATAAAGTAAATTGAATTATATGCTTAATAAGTATATTATCAAAGAATTTTCATAACAATGAAATTTCAAATACCATCAGATAATAGTTTTATTATATATAATAGTTTAAAATTGAATAATAAGAATGGTCATCTACTCATTTTCAAGAGTATATAATAGATATCATCATTTATATTGCGTAAAGTCAGTTAGCGCCGTACTGCAATTCTCAATTTGAAATAGTTCATCGCGAAAATATGACGTTGCAAATAAATATTGATAAATTAATTAAAGATAAATATGATTGATCTTGTTCTGCAGTCAATACTTTTACTCGTGGCTGGAATTGAATCTCAAAAAGATGCATCATAACAGAATATATTAAAAGCTTGTAACTATACACCAGCAGTTCACCTTGATAAGAATTTAAATAAAGCAGCTTACGATTATATATTGATTATCTTTCAAGTATTAATAACTATAATATTTCAATGATGGTCACGTAGAAACTCTTTTTCTATAATGACTAGTTCGGTGTTATGGCAAGTTTTTCTTTTGTTTTAGGAAATCAAGCAGTTCAATCATAGTATGATGAAATAATAGGTTGTAGTATCAATCAACTAGATTTTTCAATGGAAACTGGTCATTTTGCCTAAGTTGTCTGGAAAGGGTTAACTTCAATTGACGTTGAAATTGTTTGTAGTAGCGAAAAATCCAAAGCTATTTTTGTTGTAAATTATTCATCAATAGAAAGTTATCAAAGAAAATTTTCACAAAATGTATCTCTAACTCGATACTAAAAGAGAAAACAATTCTTACTAGAAGTCATTAACTAGTCTATTAAATCACACTAATAATTTTGAGTGGTTTCTCAACCCAACATTTTACTGCTTTTATTTCATTGGAATTTATCTAAAAACATGTCTTTAGTTTAATGCATACACAATCAATGTGAACTATGTACAGGTTACACCCAAACATCATGAAAATATAGTTGAAGTGTCAAAGTATCTAAAATAAACTCTTATTAATAGTAATTGTAAGCTGCAAATAATAATTCATTCTCTTATTCGTACATAGTCAATAAATACATTTACTGTTATTGAATAGTAGATCAATTTTTGTATCATTATAATATTTGATAAACAGTTCATTCGTAGATTATGGAACTGTTTGTAACCTATATGATGTATATATATATGCTAATAGATTCGCTTTTTAAGTTTTCATCCTGATTCTAAGAGTTATACTGCTTTCAAAAAAATCATTCTTTAGTGCTTCGATTGAGAAATGTTCAAATGATTTTTTATGCTGACGATTGAATGATCAACGACATAAGAAACTTCGAAATTAAATAACACAGTCGTTTATTTTTTCGATCGTGAAAAATGTCAATATATGATCTACAATAGTCAAGGAAAGTTGAACTTCTTTTGAATCAATCGTATTATCGGTTCATTATTGAAATTCTACTTGAATAAGTCCTCAGACATCTTTCGTTTTTATCATACAACCATTAGACAAACAAAAACTGATCAGTATACTAATTACTTATGGAAATCGTTTGTTGTCTCTTTTTATATTTGTTTATTGTGAAAGGCTAATTAATATAATGATACAAATGTCAGAAGAGAAAAAAGAAGAAAAAAAAATCATTATTGACGCGGACACAGATAAAAACATTCTTATGGAAGGAGACTTTCATTCTGATATGAGATTTTTTACATACCATTGAAAACAAGATAAAACAAGATAGAAAGAGAAGAAAATATGGATTATCAGAAATGATAAAAGAAGAAAAAAATGAATAACGATCTAAATAATAATCAAATTAGATGAATTGAAAATAAGCTTTGTTAGAATTCGCTGCATACTGAAATTGATGATTGCTAATGTGCAGATGCACAGAGAAAAGTATCTACTAAAAAACAATTTTGACGAAATATGCAAGGAGCGAAGTTCATAATACTATATTAAGAAGAGACATGTAATTCAGCAAAAAAATAAGTATACGAAATTTGAAATAGAATCAAGGAGCAATACGATCAAGTATCAAGGATAACGTTATCGTGAGGTCACAATCTGTGATAGTAGGAACTAACAGGAACCAATGTCAATAATATGCAGTAGATAGAAATTTGTAGTATAATAAGAGTAATCATAAGGCAGATGTCAGGTCACAAGAGAAAATACTAGTTAATCAAGTAAGAAATAAATAGTAGGGGATGAGATTAAGAAAGTATACAATATTAATATGAATATTGTTGCAAATGAATTGAAACCAAATACGATATAGCAAATAATAAGGGCGTACATGTAATGATACAGATATATAGAAAGAGAATATTGCTAATTATTGATGCCATTGAACTTCATATTCTACTGATGTATTGATTACTATAATACTAAGTAAATTTGAAAAGAATTTAAGCCTATGACATTCTTATGTCAGTATCTGTTGTTATACATTTCTGTTAGTATCATATGGTTATTGAATAAAGAGACAATATATTTTTATGAGAAAATAAAAGAATAATTTTTTTTTTGGTTGATATAGGAATCCTCAAAAATCATTGGTCTGAATCATTTTAAACTTCTTTTAATTTCATAAAAAACTTTTTATATTCCAATGATATTCAACAATTAAAACAAACTATTTGATAACAATATAAAATTGGTTTACATTTAAAATATTCTCGAGTCATTCTTATCTGATCAATAATCTACCATTTTCGTAAGTCCACGAGAAATTAAATTTATCTCATTTTACTAGAGGGTATAGATAGACAGAACACGCTCATCTACGCACGCGCATACCCAAAAGGACTAAAAGACGAAAAACAAAACAGTGAAAGTCATTGTAGCTTGAAAAGCATAAAAGTATTTAATTTTCTATGAGCTTCTCCGTTATGTAGTTTATATCGTGAATTTCTAATCAACTAATTAGTACTTTATTTTATTTAACATTTTTTTCTTCTCTCTATAGCAACGTGTACAGGACAAAGCTTTTTTTTATTCTTACTGACTCAAAAAAGAACAGAAAAAGGAACGAAAAAAAAGTCGTGCATACAATACTATTATTTTTTTCTTCTTTTCATTCTTATCCATGGAGTTCTATTTAAAAGAATTAATTGATGCATACAAAAAAAACAATAACAATAATGCTTGTATTTGCATTGATTTTCGAGATGAAACACTTTTATTCGATACATACAATATTGATCAATATACTGAAAATGAACAACGTCAAATAATCGAACGGTTCTTTTTTAAATACATCGATTTAATATCTGATTCTTCATGTTTATTTAATATAATTCTTGATCATCTCTATGCTGGTGATTATATATTTCTTTCAACGAATATGAAATCTTATTTATTTGAATCACTTGAATTATGTCCACCAAAACAATATCTTTCATGGATATATAAAATACTTGATAATGAAGAACAAATGTCGAAAATAAATATTCAAGCATTTACAACATATGTTGATATGAAACGAAAACGTGGTTTAACAAATGGTGAAATACGTTATACAATAATATGTGAATCATCAACAAAATTACTTGAATTAATTTTAAGTAAAATCTATCGTGATCGATTAACATCAAAACAAATATGGTTAGCTGTATTTCGTTTAAAACAAAATTTATCAATGACAAGTCTACAAAAAGATATATTTAACGAATGGCTTGGAATTGTTTAATTAAAAAAAAGAAAAAAGGTAAAAACGAACAAACAAACAAACAAGAATATGATCATTATTTTAAAAATGATTCATATAAAGTCCAAGCTGTTGCAGCTACAAGTGTACGACGAAATGCTCGAAGAAGAAAACCACTTCCAAAACCAATTAAACCATATGTCTATTTAAATAAATAAATTATTTATAAAAACAAACAAAATAAATAATAAAATTATGTTTACTTTAATAATAAATTTAACTGTTATAGAAACATTTTTATAATCAGTTGGAGCTACTTGTCGATATGTTTTAATGACATCAGCTGGTTGAGTAACAAACGATGCAACTAAACCAGCTGCGACACTTATGAAAGCTTGAGATGTTATCCAATTTTTATTTGATTGAATATCTAATTTAAATTTCAATAAAAAAAATAATTCGAAAATTAGAAAGAGAACGATCTTACTCGTATCATGTGAAAATATATCTTTCAATTTACGATAGGACATATAATAAATACCAGAAAATGGAAGATCTCGTGCTAAAGTAGGTAGAAGACCAGTATAAAAACCTAAAAACAAAAAAAGGTAATCTATTCAAGACAAATATTCGAATATGAATTAGAGCTATCACTAGAGCCGGTCGAGTCCAACATTTTCAAACTCGAACTCGATAGGCTGTATAATTACAGTCGCTAATGGTCTGTCAAATTTATATAAGTTGTTATCATCATAATTCTATTAGTTCTCTTTGATAGAAAATCTAAAATTGTTCCGGAAGCTATAGTATCTTCAAGATGATATTCGTCTCTCGTTCTCTCACACATTTTTGATTTCTTCGATATGTAATAAAACTTAAATGAAACTAACCTTGTAAACCATGAATTGAGTATACCTGTTTAATGATAGCAATCATATTCATTGTTGTATATCGAGAACTCTAAAAAATTGATTGCTTTCTTATTTCATTGAAATATAAAGTCTATTTCTACTTCAAGTCTAGCTTTGATTAATGTAAATGGAAAAACAGCTAAATCAGCGACACCTCGAGCTACAGCACCACAAACTCCATTAACGAAAACTGTTTGTTGGGATTTTCTAACAAACAGAAAATAAAGAATAATTAATAATAATAATAATAATATTAATAAATCTTTGTTTTGCTTACGGTATTTTTTCTTTGAGTACATTGAGTAAATGAAAATAAAGAGCACTACCAGGTACAGCACGAAATAAAGACTATGATGAAGAAAAAAATGTAAGATATTCAATCGTAATTTTCATCCTACAATATCCAACCGGTGTTAAACCACGCCATAAACGAAGTGGTGAATATTGTTGTATAGTATATTTCGTTATTGATCGTATCGAACGTTTGGAAATTCTGAACACAAAAGAAAAAACAAACAAATCAAACTTTTATAAATACAAAATTGAAAATATATTTCTTTACCCCTCTTTAGGTTCTTGTATTTGAGTTTTAAGAAAATCTAATGGTTGATATAATGTTGTTGTTATAAATGCACTTGCTCCACCAGCAATGAGTGGATGCAAACTTGATGGTAATTTTGAACTAAATAAATCAATATTTCTTGTGAAATTTTTACTGAACTAAATTTTTTTTCCCACCTTGTATTCATTTCCTCATATCTAAAAAACGACAAAAAGATCAAATCAAGTTTCAAATTTCTTTTTATTATAACATTTAAAAAAAAAACATATTATAAAGTTAACAAAAAAAACAATTTTAATATAAAACTAATGAATTGCTCTTTTGTTTTTGAGTTAGTGAAGGTCGTACGATTCCAGTTGTATTCACTACTTTGCTTGTTTTTGAACTACCAGAAAGTAAATTAGTTAATACTTGTCGTATTGATTTTAATAGATGATTATCATCTTCATTAACTATTTGATTATCTAAAAAAGATAAAAGATAAAAGATAATTAATATGAAAAATACGTAAAGAAAAATAAGAGATTACTTGATTTGTTATAATCAATTGAAAATCGTTCGTTTGAGTTTTTGAAAAAATCCTTCTTGATCTTTTGACTTTTCTTCTAGAAATAAATTGAAATTGATATATATATATTTGAATTTCATATTGATTTACCTGATTTAGTTTTTGATGAACCATTAACTGTTCCTTGCGTATTTTTTTCGAGTTCAGCAAATGATAACATCAATTCTTTTTGTTTATCTGTTAATCGTCTATAATATAAAAAAAATTTCTTTTATATAATAATACAAAAAAAAAAAAATAACATACGTAGGAATTTTTATTTTTACATGTACATAATGATCACCTGTTCCTGACCTCTGAAGACGTTTAATACCTTTACCACTAAGACGAAAACGTTGATGAGATTGTGTACCAGGTGGAACCTAATATATATTGATTATATTTTCTATGAAAAACGATAAAACGATTCTTACTTGTAATACATGATCTTCATAAATTCCTGGTACTTTTACTGTTCCACCAAGTGTTGCTTGAGTAATAGATATATCAATATCACTGTGAATATCTTCTCCATCTCTTCGAAATTTTTCACTCGGTTTAACACGTAATGTAATAAATACTTCAGATACACCAAGATTAACTCTAATGATTTGTCCATCTTCGACACCTTAAGAAAAAGAATATTTTTGAAGAATTTCATTTCAAATAAAAATCTACCAGCTGGAATTGGTATTGTTGTATATTTTTTTTGTATAGTTTTTCCTTTTCCTGAACATTCATAACATGGTTTTGCAATTATTTCACGTCGACCATGACATGTTCGACAAGTAGCACGTAAAAAAAATGGACCTGTTTCAATTGTTTCCATTCCTGTACCATTACATGTTCGACATGGTTGTGGTTGTGTACCAACTGCACAACGAGTACCTTTACATGTTGGACATACATCAACAATACGTACATTAACATCTTTATTACAACCACGAACTGCTTCTTGAAATGTTAAATCAAGGGCTAACTATTAAAAGTTTTTATGTGTGTGAAAAATAATGAATTAATTGAAAAAAAAATAAGATTCTTACTTGAGTTATACCTTGTCTACCAAATTGATTTTCATCAGGTTCATCCATCCATTCATGATTAGCAAAACCACCTCGACGAAATGCCTCACCAAAGATTTTTCGAAATAACTCTTCAGGATCAACTTGAGCTTGATAATATTCATAACCACGAAAACCACCTTGACTTGCACCAGTTGGACGACCACGTGAACTACTACCGGGAGAGGATTCTTGACCAGAACTAAATGGATCACCACCCATACCATATGTATCATAATTCTTTCGTTTCGTTTCATCGCTTAAGACTTCATAAGCTTCTGAAACTTCTTGAAAATTTTTTGATGTTGTAGCATCTTTCTTTTCTGTCGTATCTGGATGATACTGTTTTGCTAGCTAAATAAAAATCAATTTGATAATTTCGTCATTAACTAACAGAAATATTACGAACTGTATAATAAGCTTTTTTGATTTCTTTTAGTGTAGCTGTTTTAGGTACACCTAAAACTTCATAATAATCTTTTTTATTTCGTTTACTCGATGTATGAAATGAACGTATATGTAAATTTGAGAAAACTAGAACATAAAAACAATGATTGAGACATAATAGAGAAATGTAAAAACGATATACCTGTAGGGAATTTCAAGGTAGTTACATTCGAAGAATTAGATAAATGAGTTTGAATTGTATAATTAAAGCTAGTACCAAGTGATGATAGCCATGGTTTTGATACTAAATTTGATAGAGAACATCTGGTAAAATATTTAGAAACTAGCGGAGATAAACGAATCGCATAATTCGAACACACAAACATCTGAACGACAATCAGGAGCAGAATAGCAAACCAAATAATCTATTAGTTGATTATCAATTCATACATTCAATGCAATATATTATATCATATCTTCCTCATTGGAAGAATAATTTCACCAATCCTCGAAAACTGTTTTTCTTTCAAAGGTACAGAATCTAACGTCATCTTTCATTTTATATCACATTACCGATTACTATATTTATGAAAGGAATAGAAGAAATATAAATTCTTCAGAGTAGGAGTGGTCTTGAAGAAATTTGTTTCAGAGTCATTATCAGAGTTATATCAATGAACTAGTCAAGTATCTTTCCTTTTACATAGTAACAAATTTATTCTTCATATGTTAAGTAATGAACAAAAATACTATAGATTCATAAATAAGATTCAAGAAAAAACAAAGCATCACAGAGACATTCTCATTAACACATGACATTAAAAGAAATAAATATGGTAGTCCGAAAAAATTTTCGAAGTAGGGGATTAACTTTTAGAGTCAAAAAGTTTGACTCTACAGGGCTTCAATCCAAAGTCATTCTCACATATCCACATTGACACTTATTGGTTTCTTTTAAATGTTTATCTTGAGCAATATAATAATCTACTAGATGATGTATGTGTATCGGAGAAGAGAAGATTACACTCTCTTAACCAATACAAATTATAAATTGTGGCAAAACTAGCATTTTTCTCTGGTTATGAAGCTGTCAAACCTAATTAGTGAGGGTGATCGAAGAGAAAAAACAAATCCGAACTATTCTGACTTATAGAAACGAAAAAAGCAAGTGACAGAGAATATTTTTCTCGCTTGATTGCACACATTTGTCATAGTTAATAAAATAATCTTCATGTCACTTTAGTACTAATTTATTCAACGGATATTAACACTTAATTTTGAATCGTGTTCGACGTACTATCTATATCTAAAAACAAATCTTTACCTTTTGAACCTATATACGAAGTAATCACATGTCTCAACGTAAAATTATTCTAATATTTTTGATGACTTCGATAGTCTTTGTGTTAATATTAATACTAAGTGTCATAGTTATAGTCACGAAAATTTTCACATATATCAACAAAGACATTTATGCCTTCTTTGATAAGTACTACAAATTCGATAACTATAAGTTCTCTATCAAGACAAATTATGACAATATCTTTTGTCTTAACCAATAATATGACAACATCTTGTAAGAAATTGTATAATTACATTTGTTGTATACAAATGAATTCAAAAGTTTATTAGTTACTGAAATTTTCTTTTTAAGATATTTCAAATTATAAATTGAACAAAACTGAAAATTGAAAGAATACAAAAATTGAATAGATCAATCTTATAAAAAATTGTCATAGATCAAATACAGTACTGGCCAAAAGTATCCCCATACTTGGATCTCAGCCACTACAAGAGCTGTTGCTCTGAAAACTTGACTGTATATAGATCTCGATTAATGTAGGTCAGCGGCGAAACTCGCACCTCCATAGCCTGAGTCACCAAAGAGTTATGATGCATGGGACTTATTTCCATTGTGGACTTCATAGCTCCAGAACAACAAAGCCTAATGGACTACGAGACGTGTCATTTTGTAGCCCTGTATATTGGCTATTTGTGGTAAAAATTTCATCAAAATTCATTGAGTTATTGTGAAGCTAGATTCATTTTACTATAAGGATGAGTATGCTTAGAAACCGTTAAATCTCATTGTGTGACTCATAATTCAGTGTGGGTCCAATAGATGGACTTCAAACTTACAGGAAAGGTAGTCCCACAGACTTTTATTCTTCTCTGAAATTTTCAGATTTATATCATGTACTGGAGAGAAATGGCACTATGCTCAAATTTCAGATATTGTCATAGGTCTAGCTACTCGAATACTTAAGCAATTGATCTCATCTTTTGAGCACATAACTAGAATGTAAGGGGACACAGTTCTACCAAGAGAAAGTTAGAGAATTCACTAGGTATCATGGAAAACAAGACATAGACTTTTGAAGTCAATTTTTCCCTCATTCTGACAGACCTGAAGGAGATGGGAAGTAAGAATAAGGATTCGTATCCTTTTCACAATTACATTCCAATTTTTACTCATATTCTTACTCCCACGCTTACTCTGATTCATCATCATCATCATGAAAACTATCAGAAGATCCTTGACAGATTTGTACTAGATAGATAAATCCATTTTAATTCTTTTGTATAACGTTTTTTTTTTGACACTGTTAAATAAAATAATAAAAGGTCGTCAGAATGAGGGGAAAATTGATTCCACAATGGAAATAAATCCCATGCATCATAACTCTTTGGTGACTCAGGCTATGGAGGTGCGAGTTTCGCCGCTGACCTACATTAATCGAGATCTATATACAGTCAAGTTTTCAGAGCAACAGCTCTTGTAGTGGCTGAGATCCAAGTACGGGGATACTTTTGGTCAGTACTGTATAGTATATTTTGTTTGGTTTTTGAAAAAGATTTAACAGATTGCCTGTTTTGAAAAGTAAACTGCTATTCCTAACAGATCTTTTTATTTTTAGTGTTTATTGATAATTTCCAATATGTGGAAATAATCTTTTTTTTCTTCAATGTAAAATTTTCAAATAAATTATTTTTGAAATAATTACGAGAAACTACTATTCAAAATCATCTAGATTATGATTCATAATTAGAGAAATCAACAAAAAAGTGAACACTAATCTGTTCTATTATATTAATTTTCATTACATATGCAAGTGATTATTTTTCATCTCAAATATTCATAGTATTTTTTTATGACGTCATTTATCTGTACTAGATCTTCATTGAAATTTAAGTTGGGAAAAAAGTGTTTCGTCAAAACATGGCAAAAATATTTTATTTGCTTCCTCTTCGCAGCTCTCTGACAAAACTATCGATAGTTTTTCTCTGTATTATATGTCTCACCCATGTGCTATCGAAAACATACGTCTATATGTTTTACATTATTTTTACCAATAAAACTAAGGTAAATGTCATCTAAATGAACATGATAATTTTACTCAATGTTCAATTAAATCCTTTAGTTAATAAGATTAAAGCCATGGATAATCGTCTTAAGTTAATAAATATTAAAAGTATTATTGGTAATGATTTTTGAAAACTAGATCAGCGTCGTATGAATTGTTAGAAAAAGAAACCGATAATTTTTTTTCGAACGAAACTACAACGAATTTGATTGATAGCTAAACAACGACAAGGAATTAATCGAATAAAGTCGAAGATGGTTGAATTTACTCATAAAAAAAGAGACAACATACGTTATATTGACTTATTGGCATAAGAGGTTCATCAGCTCGAAAAAGAAATGAAAAGTATTAAAAGAAAATTTGTTAAGGCGAATAATTGATCATTAGTAATCGATGATATTTTGATTCTTATCACAAAGACACATGAATCTGGCACTGACCAAAGTTCTCAATCATTATTCATCAATTATCGATTTTTGTTAATGTATGAAGACTAAGAGTTTCATATAATTAGTCAGATTCTATGATCCTATATAAAGATCTAAAATCTATATTTGTCATCTACATTCTATGGATTTCTTGTGGTTGAAGAAAACAAAGTTTTCTTTTTTTATCGACAAAGGTGCAACGTCGATTGATAATGTAGGCATGATTGAGGATTGAAAATGGTCATTGCGTAGCTATTCCAATATAATTTAATTTGTGTCGACAAATAGTAGCCCTTTGTATATTAGACAATTTAGTCTGTCACGATTAATAAAAAAAATTAAACAATAGAAACTCTCTAGTACACGTACAAAAAGTGTATGTTTTATTGATATCATTAACTACAATGAAATAGTTCGTATATTGGTTGTGAATGAAGCTGACAAAACCATACACATAGAATCGAGATGAACAGAACCATTCAATTCTATAGTTTCACTTCGACAAGATATTATGTATACTCAACGTAAATATTTTTGTCGTTAGTCATTGAAGTATGATAAATGACTTCTAGTGGATCATGCGGCTAGACGTCTGTTGTATATGACAAAGGATAGGACAGTAAAAGCAAATGTTGCATACAATTTATTATCGTTTCGTGTTGATCGAAATATGCTGACTGTACCTAGGGAGATTGAAATTATCCTTTCATCAACTGTGACTGATAAGAAAAATTTTGTAAATTTATTCATTAAACGTTCTTTTACCTCATGAATCATATTATAATAATTTTGATCATCTATACTTCGTCATAAAAAAAAGAAGGTATTTGAAAAGAAAATGCCAATGACAACAAATATTGACTTTTTGCTATAGACAAGGATATCGTTTGATATTTTTTTATATAAGAAACTTAAAAGTTCATCTTAAGAATTGTAAAAAAATAAACCAAATGATTTAGTACTTGAAGAAAATATGTAACATGAGCATAGAAAGAAGACTCTTGTGTGATCTTGAAGAGGATTAGAATTATATACAAATTAATACTAATATTTTTCACTCTACTTGTATTTGAAACAATCAATAAAATAGACTTGGTACACTTTGTTTCATACTAATCAATATTTTAAACTTTTGTCATAAAAAATTACGCAACAATTTTATAAATTTGATCAATTGCTTAAATCATGAATAGAATGAAGCATTCGCTGATATTCTTTTTTTTCGGTATAATAAATAAGTCATTAATAAACTTGAATAACTATATTGAAAATATCCAGAACTTCTGTTCACTCATATCGTCGTAATTCAGACACTAGTTTTTTCAGAACGTCTGAATAAGCAAAGAAAACATTTCTACTGTAACACTATTATCTTTTTTCTTATCTAAAAAGAAAATACTTCATACAAAACTGTCGAAACGCTTTTCATCGCTGAAATAGTTTTATGAATAGAACAAAAAATGACATGTTCGAAACTAGTACGAAAACAAAAAATGCTGCTAATCGATACTGTGAACATTCCCGAATACTTTCTTACCAAGATTCGATACTTGATATTGGTGAATAGCACTCAAATTTATATCTTCAATGAAAAAGATATTCTTTAGTGTCAAATTTTAATAGACACAAGTTTTTTATCGTTCGTTTTAGTCTATTTTGTTTGGTGTATTTCAGATTAGTAGATAATTTCTATTAAACTATTTTAAATAGTTTTATTTTAATTCATGTCTACAGATCATTCGGTTATAAGAAAACAATTTTTCAGCTATACAGATTAAAAGAACGCATTGCAACATAAATTTTCAAATGTGCAAACGAATTTGATTCAATACTTGATATAATTTACGCATTCTTAATGTCTTTTTTTTTAATAAGATGAAAGCACAGCTTGTTGTAACATTACAATATATCTAGGAAAGATTTATACTAAAAGAACTGAAATCTGTAGAGTCACATATGTGTTTTTAAGAAATTTAACTTAGTAGAAAACCAAAGCAAAATTTATCGTCTTCATTTTTTTTGTTTATTTCATTGGTTACACATACTTTGTGATCGATTAATGAGAATAGATATTTATTACAAATCATAGAAGATGGGATGATGAAGAAAACCATTGTATACAATCCAAGTCTTTCTCTATTATGCTAGCTTTTTTTTCTCATCGAGATAGATTAATTATATTCAGTAATACTAACATAAACTTTTTTCAAATTTTCATATAACTATTTACATAGATCATCTTTTATAGAAAGACAATTTGAATTTTTCATAACATTTTATATATGGTTTCAATAGTTTTCAGACGATAAATCATATCAGGCAATTGTTGTAATATTCTCATAAATGTTACTTCTTTTTTTTTTGTTTTGTTTGAAAAGAATTTCCAAAATATCGATACAAAAAATAGTTTTTTCATCTGATATTCTTGATTAATTTCAGATCAACTACCAGCAACAATTTACTGTATAGTTTTTCTGAAAAATTGATTTCTAAAGTTCGAATTTATCAACAACTGCACACCAATATGTATTAAAATATTACTATATCAATAATACGAGAAAAACAAATGTTTCTTTTTAGAAAGAAGAGTCGACCAATGATATTTTTTGCTTAAAGGTAAATCGATAATTAAATATTATCAATGATTTTATCAAACACACTATTAATAAAAAAATACAAGAATTTATTGTATAAATTTGTTTTTCTAATTATTATCTTTAAGAATACAATTCATTAGAATAAACATACTTTATATTTTAATTAGAATTCAAGCAAATCAAAACAATCTTATTTTCATTTCCGATGAATTTAATTCATGTGAAGTATTATAAAAAGGAAATATGTTCAAGTGTTCTTTTGAACAGCATCAATTTTCAGAAAAACAATAGTTTCGTTACTTTATTCATTCGTTCTCATCTTATCCCTTTGGGTAGATATAAACACTTGAATTTTGTTTGTATTTCTCTTCTTCTTTTTTCGTCCTGCATATTCCGCGTGCTCAAAAAATATACAATCACGCTTTTTTTTGTACTTAATGAGCAGAAAGCAAAATGTGCATCAAAAACCTTTTCATACATTACATATGCTTTATCATGAAATGTACATTTATCAAGATGCACCTATCACATGAATGTGTCAATCGTTTTTTTTTTGATTTGTTCCTTTTTTTCTTTTCCGAAGGGCTTGCTATATTTTCATCATCATTATTACCATTGAGCAAGAACAAAAAGTGTCTAAATGTATATACAAAATGAAATTGCTAACATTTACTCAAAGACAATTATCATTGATAGGAAAGAGAAAGAAAGATAGACGGGACAACATGAAAGAACATTTCGTATATGTAATAATCGTGAATCGACGTTGTATATAAGTGAAAAAAAAGAGAATAAGAGAGGAAAAGACGAAAGCGAGCACGAACGAAATATAAAGCAAATAGTCTTTCTATTTAGCTTGTGCATGCGTATGTGGAGTGAGGAGCAAGGAAAAAAAAGAAAACACCTTGGTCGTATTCGCGCTCTTTGGTAAATAGGCACGTCAGTCAGCAACTATTTTTCGTCGTCAATTTCACGTTCTCTCTTATTTCGCTTTTTTTTCTCGTCAACGCACAACCGTTTGTTGGTCGAGTAATGATGGCTAAAAGTGTTTCACCGTAACATTTCTCTTCTTTTGCTCGATGTATTTATATGTGTTCTTGTACTCCTCTTTTTTATTCGCCTAAGCAAGCAAAAGAATGAGAAAACGAATGTATAGTGTTCCGTCTTTGAGATTCCTATTCCTCTTTGCTTTTCTTCTCTCTCTATATATATATAGACATATATATATAAAAGCATTTTTCACACTAATACATAGAACAAAAAAAGCATTATAGGTGTGTATATCTAAATACACGATAAGGTAGAAGGCAACAATATGCAGTAGATTAGATTCAGAGTATAGTTTCTACCCATTTACTTGACTCATTGGTAAGTGCAGGATAAATAGTTACTTTTTTTTTTCTCGTTTGTGAAACATATACTATATCATATAATGTAATTTTATTCTTTTCTATGATCTACATGAAAGAAAAAAAAATTCTTAAATTTCGCACAATATCAATTAAGATGAGAAAATTTCATTGCTTTTACGTTACATACTTGAGGATTTAATCGAAAATTCTAAGAATAAAACAAAAAAACCGGTATAAATCTTCCAACATTTTTTTTCTTGTTCTTTTAAATTTTCAATCAATATTTTATCTCAAATCATGTCTATTATAGTTTCGTTTTTCGATTATTTCTCTTTTTTTTTCTATATCCAATTCATATATCATTGCTGTTTCTCTTTCTCTCTTTGCACTATATTTTCTTCGAGCAAGCCAATATATGATATTCAAATGCAAAAAAAAGAACACACATTTAGAGAGACATGTTCTATTGTCGTTCGTTCGTTCGTTCGTTCGATCTTTATACAAAAGGTCTATATGAAAATTTATCTTGCATTCTCTTGCGTTCAAATTTCTATACATATATATATATATACTATGATGAATAAAATCGAGACACGAAAGAGAACAAACGGGAAAAATGAATTTTACTACTTCGACGAAATATCTTGTGTTCATTAAAAAGAAAAAGAGAAAAAGGTATATAAAGTAAATATGAAAAGGAGACGAAGAAGAAGAAAAAGAAGAAAAGAAAAGAAAACGATGTAAATTTTCGAGCAAAAGAAAATTTCAATGTAGACACACAAAGCATCTATATTTATATATTAAACGTGAAAAAAAAACAGAGGGAACAGAACACGAATGCTCGAGAGTTAAGACACTCAACTATGCTATCTTTCGTATTTTATTTTTGACCTACAGGCACACACACACATTTCATTGTCTTAGCATAAAAAAAGGCCAACAAATGTTATGCTTTTCTCTCTCTTCTATATCTCTATATCAAGTAGATTTTTAATTGGAAAATCTTTCATTCGAACATAAAATATCATTTTATGTTATTGTACATGTTATTGTGTGCGTCAGGTGTTTTCTTTTTTCTCTCGTTCTTTTTTTTGAACATTCTTTTCCCTTTATTCATCGATCATTCATACTACTTTTTTTTTCTTTGTTACAAATCAAAAGTTAGAATAACGAGATACACCAGCTGTGGAAAAACATCTGTTTCACATTTATGATTTTCATCTCATCATTTTCTTTTCAGAAAATCGTTTTTTTTTTCTTTTTTCTTCTTTTTTACTATTATTACGATTATTATTTCCTATCATTTTTATGTACTTGTTTGAAACGATTAGAAATTAAGCAAAGAAAATGAATTCATTGGAAATTCAACAACAATTCATTGATCAACGACGTGGTCGTTATGTACGTGTTAGTGATACTGACCGACGACAATTAATTGATACATATAAAAAAGGCGAAGATTTTATTGCACTTGCTAAAAAACTTAATATTAAACGATCAACAGGTAAAAAGAACGATATTATTTTTAATGAAATAAGAGTAATATGAATAATATTATTACTACTAATAATACTCATCGATTAGATTTTATTTTTAACACACAGGAGAAAAAAAAAACAAACGTGGGATAGACATGATTTATTCTTTAGAGTTAAAAGATTATTTTCATTCATTAAATGAAATAAAAGAACAGTAAACAAGTGTATTACTCAATTATGAAAAATTTTCGTTGTTTTTCAGCGAACATACAATGGTTTAATGTTTTTTTTAGCTCACCTATTTTCAACAAACCATTCAACTCCCACACAAAACTCGGTTAGCTTTAGCAAAAAACTATCCAATCATTTTTTTGAGTCATTATACCCACCTTCCTCCCCCCCCCCCCCCCCGCGCAATCCTGTCAATCTTGGGACATCACTGATAGAAAAAAAAAGAGAAACAAGCATACCAACTATCATTTGATATATACCTGTGGTGCAACTGTACCTCATACCTGTTCGACCTGAATGTATTTAAAATTAAAGGTTGATATGTTTTTTCCCTCTCTCCCCCCCCCCCTGATAAGATAAATAGTATATATTTCCCTTTTTGTTTTTCTTTGCCAATCATTTCGATAAATAACCAAAACTTGATTTCTTTTCGTTTAGCTCGAAGTATTCTTCGAACATATATTGACGAAGGACGTGTATCAGCAAAACAACGTGCTGGTACACGTTTACGTTTTATAACTGAAAACGAAGCTGAAATGATACGAGAAATGAAACGTCGTCATCCATTAATAACAATTGGTCAAATACAAATGCGTTTACAACGTACATCAAATCGTGTTTTAAGTAAAGCATCTATATCACGTATATTAACAAATAGTATACGTTTGGGTAAACGTGCTAAACGTTCAGGTGATGATGATGATATGGATGAACAAGATGAAATGAATAATAATATTATAATGAATGGAAATGATGAAGTTATGCAATTATCATCAGATGAAGGTTTAGGTGGTACTGTTTATATTGATGATGATGAAGATGATGATGGTGATGATGATGATGGAATAACAGAAAATAATTCATCAATACAAAATCTTGATGATTTTCAACGTTTTATGTTACGTAAAACAAGTATTAATGGAGATGAATCAAACGGTAATGAAGAATTATCATCTCATACGAAAGGTATTTATTAAAATCTATTCGAAAAAGAAACATAATTTTCTTTTTTTTTTTTTTTTTAAGAACAATTGGATGAAAATGAAAATCTTACATATTCAATGTATCGTAGTGAAGATGAAGATGAAGTAAAAGAAATTTATTCGAAGAAAAAAAAAATAATACAATGTAACAATGTTTTTTTTTTCTGCTAGCTATCAGAAATCGATGACAATGAAATAAAATCTTCAACAGATCTTCCATTACAAATTCCTTCAACACAACCTACAATTGATGGTAAGGACAAAAACAAAACAAAAGATTCTAAATAGAATTTTTTGAATGATTTTTTTTTTGTAAAAAAGAAAATCCTCCACTTTCAAATGAAAATGAAAATTGGACTCCAGTAAAATCTGAACCTGTTTGTATATTTGTAAATCGAACTTTTGATTCATCTGATAGTGAACATCAAGCTATTATCGATGAAGAACCGACTAAACCGTAAGTATTGTTTTTATCTTTATTCTCTCTCTCTCTATTATTTTTTTGTTTTATGATTATCTAGTCATCTCAATACTCAATCAACAGCAAATCGTCGTATTAAAATGTGTCCAATATGTGGTGAAAAAAATTTTTCTCGACTTTCTCATCATCTTACTGTTTCACATAACCTTAATCGTGAAGAAAGTTTAACATTACTTGCATATACAGATCGAAATATTAATAATCATAATAATAATAATTCATCAATAGCAACTGTTAGTGGTAGTTCACCAATAAATTCTTCAACAAATCATCTTGATAAAAGTCCACAACAAACTCCAATTACTATTAATACAAATAATCAACAAATACCATCATCTGTTTCATCACCAGCATTAAATGATTCTGATAATAATAATAATAATAATAATAATAATTCAATAATAACAACAAGTTCGCCACCTAATGAACAACAATCAACAAATTTTACTCATATGGATGGTAAAAAACGTTTATTATGCCCACGTTGTAATACATGGGTTTTAAATTTAACAGATCATTTAATAAAAAAACATCATTTAGTATCAAAACAAGAACGTTTACCATTTTTACGTTTAGCACGTAATCGTCATTCAATATCAAATATAGAAAAATCATCAACAAATTCATTTTTCATTAGTCCTAATGATCAACAAACAGTTGCAACTGTTAATAAAAAATATCAAAATATAATAAAAAAATATCGTAAAAAACCTTTTAATTCTATACCAGTATCATCATCATCATCCGCATCATCAACAATAACAACAACAGCAGCAGCAACACTAATATCAAATCATGAAACATCATCAACCAATTTTAATCAAAATTTATTAACAACAAATAATAATACATCAAAACAAATTCTAACATCAAGAAATTCACATACAAATAAAGATGTAAATTTATAAATCTCTAAATTAAAAAAATTAATTATTTTGTTTTATAGGTAGCTATACATCAAAAATTTGAACAACGTTTATCTGTATTTCGTCAACAATTTGCTGTTACAGTTGCAATGCAAAATTCTTTAATGCAACAAATGGAATTATTACAAAGAAGTTTTGTTTCAATTGAAGATGAATGGAATGATATGAAAAAAGAAATTGTTGAATCTATTTCATAAAGAAACCAAATAAAAAAAAAAAAAAGAAATTTCTTTTAAGATCAGATATTAAGAAGCTGGTAAAATTAATGTTGTGCTAATAATAATTGTATATAAATGTGCAAAACAAACAAACAAACTATATCAGTGAGCAGTAGCTTATTTGAACATTCCTATTATTTGTAACGGAAGACAGTGTGTTTGTTTGTTTGCTTGATTAGAACATTCCTTGTTGTTGTTGTTGTTGTTTTTTTTTTCTCACTTTTTTTTTATTTGAGTGTATTATCAGTATCATCTTTTACTATTCAAAAAAAAAGTATCTGGAATGCTTTTTTGTTTCGTTTTCTTTTTAATATTGACGAATAAAAAACAAAAAAAAATTTTTAACTAATTTTATTGTATTGATGTATGTTGTTTCGAAGCCTGTTCTTATTTGTAAGAAAAAGAAAAATTTTGTTTGCAGAATTTAAAAAGTTTTCAAAAAATTTTAAATAATGATTTAGATAATTGAATCAGACGTGTTTTGGTTGAAACTTCAATTTTGAGAAAAAAAAATTACTTTCGTCCTACGAAATCTAAAAAAGGGATCTACGTCTAAACAATCGATTTATAGGAAATGTTAAGCAAAAATTAATTATGATGTGTGAAATCTTCATTAAAATATGGTTGGATAATGTGATGACAACTGTTGCATATCTTTCATTCAGTAATTTTCTCAATCTATTAATAAGCTATTTTAAGAACTTTTTAGCATGTTGTTGTTGTTGATTAAATCTATCCTCTTTCCATTGCTATAACAGTTTTCGAAGAATATTCCATTCGTTGTTTTAAGAGAAAACATAAAACTGCAACGGTAGAAAATATTTTTTTCTTACAAATATTCCCTTTAAAAGATGTGCAGTTTTATTTATGTATGATAAATCTGATACTTATTATCTACTACCACTTCCTGTATTCATTATAGATCTGTTGAGCTTATCGTGTATTCTGAAAAGAGTTCGAGCTAATAGCTTCGTTCTACCGAGATACTGTATCTTTACGATATTTTCTTAGCAGAATACCGTGATCCTTCTCAGAAGCACCAGAAAAACTTAGTTTTGAATTTCGACTTGAAGCTTTGAAATAGAGACAGATCTAATAGTTTATTGTAAGAGTTTCAGATCTTTTGATTGCTTTTATTCTAAGAGACAACTATGGTAAAAGCATGATTTTCATGCCATTCATATATAATAATAAATTCCGAAGTTCTTATTTCCGAAAATACGCAATCAGAAACTTTCACAATACGCTATTCTTATTAAGGACTATCTTTATATGAAGTTTCAAGGCGAAATTCGAGACTCATTTTTCTAGTGTTCTTGAGGGAGATCACAGCATTCTGCTAAGACAATACAGTAAAAATACAATATCTCGACAGGAATAAGTTATTAGCCTGAATTTCTTTCAGAATATTCATAGCTCATTAGAACCTACATGATGCACATAGTCTCGGCTCAAAAGTGATTCGACACTTAACAACGTTTCCTCGTAAGATGTAGTATGGATGATAAGAAAATTTGATATTATCGAAGTTCACTTTTGACTTTTCAATGATCAAATTATGAATAACTTAAATGTATTTATTTTCTACTTTATAAATCTATTTTGACTGAGAACTTATGATTAGAGCCATCTGAAGAAGATGGCGTTCGAGTTCTATAATCAAAAATAAAAACCAACCATCAGCTGATTTCACACCAATCACTGTTGAGTAGTCTGACTCAAGAACAGAAATAGCGTCGTCATTCAATTTTTTTCCTGACTATCATCTATTTGATTCAAGAAAAGACGGGAATATAAATGACATGATTGAAGTAATTGCAGAAATCTTGCGAGGTCCTGTATTTCTCGCAGGCGAAACTCTTCATTGTCGAATAACATTAACAAATAAATTATCTGATGAAAATGATTCAACAAATAATCAGTAGACAAATAAAAAAAAATCAATGTAAATTATTTTTGATTTTAATATTTCTATTTGTTAGGGAAACTTCGGAAAAAATTTCTTGGGCAAGTGTTCAACTACATTGTCAACGTTATGTAAATGAACAAAAAGTTAATTTACAACAACAACAACTATCAAGTGCAAAGTCAAATGATTCATTAGCAACTAATGTTGATATTGTTCCATTAGATTCAACTGCTTTGATTGCTACAAAAGGTGAAACTGGTCAAACAGTATATACATCTAAACCATGTGTACTATTTTGTGATCTGACATTACAACCAGGAGAAACTCGAATATGTCTGTATTTATTTATTTTGTATTAAAAAAACATATAAATATATAATTTATTATTTTTAATATATTTTAGTTTCCTATAGTGAAACAATTTCTACTCATGTGCCTCCTACATTTCGGGGAAGTTATGTTAAATATTCATATAAACTTACAATTGGTACACAACGTGTTAATCATCCAACAACACTCATTCGAGTACCTTTTCGTGTATTAGTTGTACCAGGTACAGGTTAACATTGAAGAATAAAAAAAAGAGTATATTTTCGAGAGAATATTCTAGAAATTATAATATTCATATCAATGTATTTATAATTATATTCCAAAAATATTTTTATTTTACAGATTTAGATAAATTTATTCGACAAGATAAAGCTGCAATAGCTTCATCACAAACTGGTATTACAGTTGACAATCCATTTGTTTCTCCTAATCGTACAGAAATTGACTCTTTAACAACAGCATTAGATGCTCTTCAAATTCTAACATCTCGAGCACATCAACGTATGAATTCAAACATTAAAAAAAAAAACTTTCTTTTTCTCTATTTCTAATTATATAATAGATGTTTACAATATAACTAATAATCGTGGTCGTGTTTGTCGTTTTACATTATTTAAAAATAATTTTAAATTAGGTGAAGATATAACAGGTATAATTGATTTTGATCATACAGATGTATCATGTTTACAATATACTGTTACATTACAAAGTGAAGAAATATTAAATCAACATTATCGTCGAAAATCCAGTCAATTTCCCAATCTAACATCATTTACAAAACAATCAGAATTTTGTTTATCAACATCTCAAACATATTTATCTCTTTCTATTCCATTATCCTGTACACCAACATTTTCAGTAGATCTTGGTAAAAATAAATAACATATAATCGAAGATTAATTAGACAAAATGTTCAATTTTTCGTGCACTAAAGTTCGGTCAGCTTACAACTCCTAAATCAGAAGTCCTACAAAAATTTTGAATCCATATTCGGAAAAAAAACACTAATCCAATGTTTTCAAATTGCTTTAGACTTCTTAAAAAGACTGAAAAAAAAATGATTGAACATTTTTATCTAATTACTATTCGATCACTCGTTATTTAATTAAAATAAATCTTTGATATTATATTTATTTAGTTTCAATACGATGGAAATTACATTTTGAATTTGTTATATCAAAAACTCCACGTAGTTTATTATCAACAAATAATGATCCATCAACAAGTACAATATGGTTGCCATCAAGTTCAATTGATGTTGAAAGCATGACTTGGGATTTAGGAATAAAAATTTTACCAACAAATCCATGTTTTGCTAATAATGTTGCAAAAGTTTCTTGTACAACAGTTGCTACTATTTAATTTTTATTTATTTAAAAGATATATATTTAGAATAAATGATGAATTAATTTAAAAAAAATAAAAGCACAAGGTTAGATATTTCACTCGCAGTTTTTTTTTTCTTTTCTTTCAGATGCATTCTTTTTTATTCGTTGGTCATCATAAATCACAACCAACACAAGATTATAGTCGCACATCGAATGCTGTATGTTGAAAAAAAAAACTTATGTATATATAAAACATAATGAAATGAATTGATTTTGTTATTTATAGAGTAGTAGAGATGATTTTATTAAACGTGCAGAACAAGAACGACAAAAACGCGAAGTAAAAATTGTTATTTAAACTTTTTGTTTTTGAATTTTACTGTTTTGTTTTACGTTTAGCTTAATCGAAAACAATTATACGGAGCGATTAAAATTCAAACTTTTTATCGAAGAATATTAGCTCAAAAGCGATTGGTAGGTGTTTTTTTTTCTGTCTATAGAAAGTTGAATAACTTACATTAATGATAATTTCGTAAATCGGTTATCTCTGTAATATTTTTTTCATGAAACATATGAGTTTGTTAAACTATGAATTAATAGTATTTCGAATTATTTCTAAGTTCATTTTTTTGGAAGAAGTGAAATACAAAATGTCAAAAAAATAACATAAAAATTCGCCATCAAAGACTCACAGTCTTCTATTTTGGTCAAACTATTTTCGTAGTTTCTAATGAAAAAAGTTTTTTCGGAAAACAATGCGATTTTGTAGATTTAACAAGTGATTTTTAGGTTTTTAGCGGCTCAGAAATAATGTTGACCATAGTCTTTTAAAATTTTCAGCTCAAAATCCTGAAAATTTAATATAAATATCCTAATTAAATTTCAAATTTTTGAAGAAATGAATTAATTAATTAAGTTAGATATTCTATTACGCCCGACTCATCGTTTTTCCAGAAAGGTCTCCTATTGCAGGGAGAGGTTTAGGCTTTTCTCTCACTTAAAATAAATTTCAACCTTTTACCTTCTTCCAGTTACTTTTCTTCTAATAATTAATATTTATTTTTCAGAGACAATTATCTCGTGACCGTATATCAAATTTACTAATTCAATTTCAATCAACATCATTCGATGATGAAAATCTTGTACATCTAGCTAATTTGGTAGAATTTGGCTTCAAACCAAATGTTGATGCTAGTCTTATGGTAAAAAAATAAATAAAACTTTCATGATTTTTTTTTCTTTCTCTTAAAAAAAGATGTCATTAATTGAATCATGTTGGAAACATCGTCAAGCAATTGTTGAAAAGCTTTCAAATGGTAATTCATCATTAAAAATTGCAATTGCTAAATTATTAAAATTTACAGTCAGGTAAATAATTTCAAAAATCAAAAAAAAAAGAGTTGATTTTTTTTTTCAATAATTTTTAATTAGATGTCTTTCTTATTTTGAATCGATTCGTTTACCAACACGTTTTATCGAATGGTTTACTGATGTAAAAAGTTATACTAATGAACAAGTTGTTTTTCCTCAAAATGTACAAATACTTACAAGTTATTTTTTAAGCAATATTATTCGAAATGGTAAAAAATTAATTGAAAAAAAAAACAAGTAATTAATTTAATTTAAATAAAAATTTTTAGGTTATTATACACAAATGTGTTCTGTTATTCAATCAAAAGTTCCAGCAAATGTTAGTAAAATAAGTCGTATACCAGCTATTGAACCAATTGTTGATTTACTTGCTCGACCTATTGAATATCAATTAACTGATTCAACTATTAGGTAAAGTAAAAAAAACAACAACAACAAATGTTTTAATAATTAATTGTTTTATTTTTATTTTTGCAGGGATGAAGCATTAAATGCTCTTCGTAATGAATTATTTTCCCGTTCGGATCTTGCTGCATTACCATTAATTATAACTCCAACACTTGTTCATCGTCGGAATTTTCCTGCTATTCGTTATATTGAATTAATTGATTTTAATCAAACATTTCCAACTGATTCATTATTATATAAAAATTGGAAATTATATCAATTATATGCATTACTTTTAATTATTGATAGTCGAATTGATGAATTACCAATATCATTAACAAAAAAAATTGTTGCAGTTATTCGATATTTTTGTAATGTTTTGGTTACAAGAAAAAATTCGAATAAATTCTCAACACATGATCATGATGTAGATGATCATGATAATGATGAACAAATGGATGTCGACAATGGAGCAAGAGTATGTTTAATAATTAATTAAGTTATTAAAAACAAAACAAGCATTCACTATAAAATATAGTTTTTTCTTGATTATCTTTTTTTTTGTATAATCGATGATGTAAAAGTTCTGCATTAAATTTATTTTCAGTATAGCGTGATAACAATTCATCTTAAAAGTTCGATAGTTTTCTTATTAGATAGAGAAAAGTTTCTACTACAAAGTTGTGTAAAAATATTTCATTTAAAAAAGAAATTTACTAAAGGCTGAGAATTTTTAAGAACATGTTTGACTGGAAAAGTACTTTGCAATTTCACACAAAATCAGTGACGAAGAGTTTACGAAAACTTTCAGCTGTATGACAAAAACAAAAAGAATATTAGTTCATAAATTATCTGTAGTGATTCTAATTTTTCCAGTAATATCATGTAACAGTAAAGTGGTGTTTTTCAGGACATTTAGTTTTAAGCGACAGAAAAAGTAAAAAATAAAGGGTAGGTGTGGATTTGGGTTGGGTGTTCTTGTACCTCCATACACATCCTTTTATTCTTTTATAATAAATTTCTCGACTATTTTTTTCGCATCGATCAATTCTTACTTTCGCATAATTTGATAGTCTAATAAAACATAAAATATAAGATTTTACTAATTTCGATTGCTAGAAAAAAAAAATCTTATTTTTTCGTAAGCGAATACTGTTAGAAAAAAATTGCTTTCGAACTCAATCACTAACTTGAAAATTTTATTTCTACATGTTTACAATGTTTTATCATTAGCGCTACAAAATCCGATAAAAGATGGAAAAAAAACCCAACTTTCTTAATGAATAGAGATTTTCTTCTCTGTTCCAGAAACATGCAGGGAACTTTTCCAGTCAAACATATTCTTCAAAATTTCGGTAAGTAATTTGGATGAAATATTTTTACACAGCTTTGTAGTAGACACTTCGCTCTCTCTAACAAGTAAGTTATCGTCACGCTATACTGAAAAGAAAATGAATGCAGAACTTTTGCACCATTCTCATTATATTATATTCTTAAAAGAAAAATGATCAAAACTTTTCATTTCCATTCGCAATAATTAATAAATCTTTTATTAATCATTTAACAAAATAAAAATTCTTATTTTTCTTTTCTTCTAGGATGAACTTGATTATGAACTAATTGAAGATTGTTTAACAATATTAAATAAACGATCGATAACAAATTATTGTATACAATTAGCAAATCAAAAAAAACAGATATTAACAGAAGATGATAATGAATATATTGCAAATTTAGCTGCTATTGCTCATAGTCTAATACGTCAACATGAATCAATACTTCAATCAAAGTAAAATTAAAAATTTCTTCAAAAACAAAAAAGATTTTCTATTTAAATTTATTATTTAGTTTTTTAATGAGTTTAAGTAGTTCATCATTATTTCTTGCACATTTATGGTTCGTTTGTCGAATACTTAAATATCAAACTGATTATCGGTACAAAAATAATAAATTTGAAATTTTCAAATTAAAAAAAAATTCTTTTTTTTTCCTTTAGAGAACATGTTCTTCTTCTTTCACATATATCTTGTGCAAGTTCATCACTTAAAGATACTGATGTTGATCGTATTGAACCGTTACTTGTAACATTTTGTTCATTATATAGCATGTCACTTGTACCATTACATGATGATGAATTTTTTCTTGGACCACCAAATACAGCATTTCAAATTCATGAAATATCAGATATGGTTCGAACATTACGTGATGTATGTATGGGAATTGTTAGATTTATGTATCCAGATAAACAAATAACTATTCCATCAATAAATACAATTGATGATAATGAATCTTTAATGAAAGTAAATCGAGCACAAAAACAAGCAGAATTTGTTCGACAACGAGCATCAAAATTTTCAATGATTTTTAAAGTAAACGAAACTATTTCTTTTGTTATATTTGATAAATTATTGAAATTTTTTCTTAAGATAATTGTACAATTACTTCAACAAATTCGATCAAGAGATGTACGAAGACAATTTTGTCCACGAGAATATTGGTTAACAAATCAATGTCCATTACATCTGGATAAGGTATTAGACACATAAAAAAATTTTCTTAGAAAATATTTTTAAAATTTAAAAAAAATATTTGATTGAAAGACAAAGAAAAAAAAACTTGTCTATTTCCATATAAAATTCACTGGCATGATAAGAATTTAGACTATGAATTGTTTCGTGTGAAACTAATGAAAGAAATTAAGATGAAAACAAGTGTAAGTGTTGATTCGTCGAAAGTATATCTTTCATCTAACATAGTTAGAATTTGATATATGTTATTAATAAATAAATTTCAATAGCGATGTTTAAAATGAGTTCGGATTATTCTTGTATTCTATATAAGGTGATGGAAAAAAGTTTAACAACAAGCGTACTTTTGATTTTTTTCCTATAAATAATTTCATAGATGAACTATGATTGCAAGGTTTCGAGAAAACTGGACACGGTAGTTTTCAAGTACCAGGAAACTTTGTCGAAACTACTTTTTAACAATGACATTATAAAGAGAATAAAATGAAAGTTCACCGCTTTTTCTACGACCGTCCTTTAAAATTATCAGAAAAAAACCAACTAAAAACGCTATTCTTTCGGTTTTTGTGATACTTTTAACTTTCTAAGGGAAGGTCGCAGAAAATATAGTGACTTTCTGTTTTGTTCTCTTTATAATAGCATTTTTAAAAGTAGTTCCGATAAAGTTTTCTGGCATCTGAAAACTACCATGTCCGATTTTTTAAAAGCCTTGCCTTCATAAAATGTTTAATATTACAGAAAAAAAATC